ATGCAGTGTGACTAAATTATTAATAGTTGCCATGCATATCACACAAGGATTTCAAAAGGGGACTTTGTGTTTCTGGAAAATGCTGTTATTTCTGTCTGACAGTAGAGACAAAATCATCTGGAAATTAGTCTCATTGGTACTAATCAAAACTCTTAGTAAAACATGCCCACTGTAGGCACAATACAGTCATTTTTCATTTTTGAGCAGAATGAGCCATTTCATTCATTATCTCAAGGAAAATCTTTGTGTTTATAATTTACTAAAACACAAACAAAACAATTAAAACATACTGGAACAACTATCTATTTCTACTCGTAAAAGCCCTATTAACTAGTACAATAACATTCAAGCACAAATTAAATTAGTATCATTTACAGATGATACCATAGAATATTTGTTTTATGAGGAAAAGAGCTCAGCTATGGGGGTGTTTGAGGTGTGGGTTGTAAGAACATGAAGATATATGCACGGATTGCTACGTTTAAATTTGCTTTATGAAGAAAACAACATTCTGCTGTGGGCAAAAACACAAATATGGGAAATTTCTTTCTTGTCTCAAGTGAATTATTTCTGGTGAAAAGCTTCTCAGCATTTTGCTACAGGCATGCAGCTTTACACACAGAACATTATGCATGTACACACAGAGAGCACTCGAGCAGGGGTGTCTGCCCCAATGCCCTCCTCTACGCCCAGGTCCCCTCCAAAGCTCTTTATGAAAAGCAAAGACAAGAAACAGATTCTGAAATGGAAAAAACACCAAACCCAAACCAAACGACAACCAAAAGCACTGGCACAGAAAAACAAATTGATAAGGAAAAAGGCAGCTTCACCCGGTGAGTCTCAGCTGCTTCCAGAGCAGACAGCAATGGGGACATACTGCTATTATTAGCCCTCCGGATGGGAAGCAGCTAGTTTGCAGCACAATTTGAAGCTGTTAGCAAGACCTCGCAGGATTTTCTTCGCATGTACGCACAGACACACAGGCAGACAGACGGACCGACCCCCCAAAACTCTCGTGGCGAGCCCCTTCCCACTGCTCGGGTGAGACAGACAGACAGAGAACATGACGCCGGCGCGACTGTGCGTACTCACAGCTCGGAGTACAAGAAGTGCAGGTTGCCCACATTGTCTATGTAGTTTGCAGGACTTAGCCAAGGTAGGACCAGTAACAGGAGAGCCTTCATTTTCAATGCAGGGCTGGCACTGCCGCTAGGTTTCCTCCTTCCCACCGTCTCTCCGTCCTGGTGGGACACACAACGTGAAGCTTTCGTGCCAGCCAAGCCCCTTCTATGCAAGCCTTCCCATTTCAACGCAACGGTAGCACATTATGAATCGAGCTTAAATCCCTTAAACGAAGCTACACTGCAAAAAAAATCATTGACCTGTAAGAGGATTACTCGATGTGACTCTCGGATGGGGAGATGTGAAGGTTTAGGGACGGCACGGCGTGGTTGGCGAGACAGTGACTTATGCTGCAGAGGAGTGCGATGCTCGGGGAAGAGACCTGCCTCCTGCAGGATTCAGTGGTTCTTCAGAGGCAGCTGGTACGTTTACATCACTGCCCACAAGCAGATGGGTTATGAGCTAAACTGCATCACGGAAGGGTGTAGCTGTCTGGCAAGGGGGGAGGGAAATGCCCTCCGTGGAGTTTTGAAGCAGGCGATATTGGAAGACCACACCTTTTTAAAGTAAAACACGGCAAAGGATCACAGTTTGCATCTCAGCCTGAATTCCCCAAATCCAGTCAGATGCTTTTGTGCAAACATAAATCATGTTATAATCCAAGGACATGTCTCTTGTCAGTGTTCGTTTTTTGGTGTGGTTTTTTTTTTTTTTGGAAGGATGCAAGAGCAAACATTTTACATAAGGATGCTTTAAATGGACTACTCCATGGTAACCAGTGTTTAAAAAAAAAATAAAGTTCTCTCATCAATTACAAAGCAGAAAACAGCAAACTCACCTTGTCCCATCAGTGGCCTCGTCTCTGATCAGGGCAAGCTTTCATTTTGTCTCTGAGAACCAGGATTGGTCTGAGCCTGAATCACGCACAAAATGCGAGGACTGCCAACTGCCCCGGTGACTCTAGCGGAGCCTACTTTAATTTATTCACTGAGAACACAGATCACGTTCAGTCGAGACTTCAGACGGGCTCAGAGCTGTTCTCACTGCAGGCACTGGATTGTTTATGATTATTATTTTATTTTTTTTTATTATCAAAGTCACACACTTTCTCTCTCCTCTATTGATTCACCAGAGTTAAAGAGAACAGCATCAGCTCGATCTGCTCTGTGCCTGGGCATGCTGGTGCCTGAAGAGCACAATGCCCTTCTCTCCTGCCCTGCCACGAGTTGGAGGTGGGATGGCAAGGGAGGTTTCTGCATTTCTGAGAATTAAATTATGCAAGAGCACAAGATACCTTTGGTGTTAATTAATGAATGTTGCATTTAAGAAAATAAATGTACCACATAGTCTCGGTGAGTACAAGTTTGCAGAAGTGCCCCCTTATGGGTCATTCAAAGTTCCCACCTAATTCTTCCCAAGGGTGGAAATGCCAATAAGGCTGTGCTACCCACCCCCCAGAAAGCCAAACTCCCCAGCAGCAAAGGTTCCCCTTGATTTCTGACTCTGTCCTTTGGCCTTAAGGTAATTCAGCCCGCACCCACTGAGGAAGGAAAACCCATGGTGTGAGTGGCAAGGCAGCTGCCCAGCCTACGTAGCACTGTGCTACCTTAGGGTTTGATGGGAAGAAAGACCACTGCTCTGTCTCTCCAGTTCCCTGCTCTCTGGGTTTTCAAAGCTGGGACCCTGGCACGGAGGAGGAGGGACAGCAAGAGGCTGTGGGAACATGGTTAGCTAAGCCAATTCCTCCTACCCCTCACTGGGCTCAGGCCAAGTGAGCCAGAGGCATGGGATCCTGGAGATCCTAAGAGGAAAATACAGGACAAGGACATTCAGAAATAAGCACTGGAAGAAAACTTGTCAGGTTTTTACAGGACTAAACCATGGTTTACAACACTGCAGTTCTGCAGGGGATGTACGTGAAGGGTTTCTTTACTACTACCTCAAGGAGGAGAAACCAAGGCACTGGAGTGACTCACACGCATCCATGTGGAAGAGTTGACACTAGAAATCAGGAATTGTGCTAGTTGAGTGGCTTCTGTGTAAAAAACAATATTCCAGTGTGCTTATTCATTGTGTGATGTTTTGTTTGTGGTTTTCTTTTGTAGGGGGTGTTTTGTTTGGTTTTTTTCCCTCGGTATTTTTATGGCCACAGGTCCAGCATCTCAAAAAAAAAAAAAATGAAGACAAAAAAGAAAGATCTAAAATACATTAAGGTCGGCTATATGTATAGCAAAGGGAAAGGGTATATGCACTAAGGGCTCAAGATTTTGTGGTTGGAATCTGTAGAAAGCCTATCTCAGTGACAGCAGCTCACAGCAGATTGTCAGTCCCTTACCTGCATGACTGCTGAAATCTGGTTTTGAGGCCTGTCAGAAAAGTACTGACCAATGGTAGAAAATAAGCAGCTTTGCTCATTTTTCCCCTCAGCAGCAGAAAGCTGACCTTGCAGAGCACTGCTGGCCTGGAGGCTGCTGCCACCACCTCTCATGCCATGGGGCAGGAGACAGCAGCAGCCTCAACAGGGAAAGCCAGGTCCAGAACTGGACAGACCAAGAGAACCCAAATCTACAGGCAGCTGAAAAGTAGGCTCTTGCCCTTTGCAAGGGGTTTATTGCTAATGGGTTTGGGCTTTTCTTCAGTTTTCGTAAGGCAAAACAGGTACATGTTTTGGTTGGTTAAACCACAATGAATTCAGTAATTATGTTGAATAAATTCCTTGTGAGAATCCAGGTGCTTTAGGAAATGTCATCTCCAGGTCAAACAGGGACATGTCTGAATGACAGTCTGCAGAGACATTTCCAGCTACAGGGCTCAAGACCCAGAAGCCTGCAGCCATGTGAACACGCAGCCGTGCTCCGGCTCACCAGGGATGCTCTGCCTCTCAGCATCACCAAAAAAAAACCCCAGCAGCAGCCCAGAGCCCTGTGCCGGATGCTCAGGTCTTCTTCCACCATGCACAGGCAGAAGCACACACCTAGGAAATAACTCAGACCTGCAGACTACAGGGGAAGTCATCTCACTGGGCAATGGAGACAGGCCACAAAAAGGACATCTCTCAGACCCCACCTCTCTTCAAATCCAAGGTGCTGTTGCCCGGACTATGCCAAAACATTTGCCTGCCATCAGTAACCACAGCTCTGAATGAATCTCTCTCAAAAGGCAGAAGAGGCAACACAAAAGCAGCAGCACATGCTTTTACCCTGCAAAACAGAGCATCATTCATCACCGGTTCTCTGCTTGCAGAGGAGCCAAACTGCTCCCTGGAGTCATCTCTCCCAGAGGCAGGAAAGAGGATGTCCTAACCACCAGGAAAGGTAATCCTGGAGTGGAAGTCAGCCCAGGGAGCTCTTCCACACCGCACTGCAGAAGCCAGGACTCTGAGTGCCCCATGGTGCAGTGCACGAGTAAGTGCTCACCTGGAAGAAAGCACTCAGCTCCAAAGACCAATACCAAATCGGAATATTTTCTGCTCTACTTCTCATATAGGTCATTTGTGATTCAAAAAAGGATAGAAGAAAGGGCAATTATAAAACTCTTAATGTACTACTAAAATATTTACGATAGCTCAGCTTCCCAAAACTCACAGATCTCTTTGGATGACTAAATACACACTTCCATTATGCAGCTAACCACAAGGTATCCACCCAGAACTGCTAATGATAGCATGAAGTACCGTGAATGCATTTGATTATAAAACAAGAGTGAGAAATTGTCATAGAAATGGACTAAATTCAGCCCCAAATGATACTATAGGTGTTCATTGGGACTGAAATCTACAAATCTTTCTTTACATTTTAATCAGCATTAATAGAAGACTTCCCCTACCCTGCCCCTTAAGTAAAAAAGTGAAAAAAAAAGGCCTATCAACAAAAACTTACTGGGTTTGGAAGTGCTGTTCGAGGTGCCCACGTTGCACGACCTCCGAGCAGTGTTCTGTGAAAGGGCAGCTAACCATTAGCTTGTCCAGGAGGTTATTCACGAGTATGCTGGACTTCCTGCACGTCTGGAGAATCACAAGCTTGCGGTCCATGGGGCAGAAGTCTTTCTCCACGAGGAAGTTTGTAAGGCAGGCTGTGCAGAAGGTGTGACCACAGAGCGTGTCTAACGGCTGAAGCAAAGGTTGCAGGCAAATGTGGCATATCAGATCATCATCCACTTCTTCGGTGTAGCTGTACAAGTGGTTTTCTTCCGGTAAGTGCGCTTGGCCACAGGTGGAGTACAGCGGTGGGGAGTTATCTTCCATTTCTTCTTCTTTCTGGCTCATGATCAGAATTGATGCAATTCAAAAGAGGGCAGATGGAAATACCCGACCTGTTTTCTACTTGTGAGAGCTGCAGCAAGGCTGGTGTGCCATCAGATCTGTGGGGAAGCAAGGTAAAGGGTTATGTTGTGGGCTGCTTTTTCTTACTGTACTTACAGTATGTATCTGGATATGAAGTACTCTAGCAGGTATCAGGGAAGGATTGCATCTTTGGGATTGGAGGGTGAAGTAAAGAAGGGGGCAGGAAAAAAAAAGAAGAGTTATCTCTAGGGACTTCGAAAAAAAGAAAGAAGAGTTATCTCTAGGGACTTCTTTTCTCTTAAAACTAGCTCAATTTACACAATTACTCACATTGTAAAGAAAGCTATCAAAACATCTAGCTCAATTTACGCAATTACATTGTAAAGAAAGCTATCAAAACAGGAAGAATACTACGGGCATTTAATGCTTGAAAACCTTAGATTAGCATATAATTGCAGTTCTGGTCAGCTGATTTTGTGGTCACATTATTTCTGCCTGAAAAGCAGGATAGTGTGTAGGCAAACACTGCAAGACTCTATGCAGAAACACAGGTAAAAGCAGTGGTTGCTGCCCAAGCCACCTCCTGAGTGCAGTGAGGGAAAGCAACAACTCCACCTAACATGCAGCAGGGCACAGACTCTGAATATGCAGCCAGAGGGAGGACACTCTTGAGGACATTAGGATTTAGAGTTTGTGACCCTTTAGACCATTCTCTTCCCACAGCAGCAATGTATCTCTCCGATTTTCAAAACCACTGAACACAAGACCCCATCATAGAATCATAGAATAGTTTGGGTTGGAAGGGACCTTAAAGACCATCCAGTTCCAACCCCCCTGCCATGGGCAGGGACACCTTCCACTAGACCAGGTTGCTCCAAGCCTCATCCAGCCTGGCCTTGAACACTTCCAGGGATGGGGCATCCACAGCTTCTCTGGGCAACCTGTTCCAGTGCCTCACCACCCTCTCCAGGAAGAACTTCTTCCTGATATCTAATCTAAAGGTCCCCACTTTCAATTTAAACCCGTTACCCCTTGTCCTGTCACTACAGGCCCTTGTAAAAAGTCCCCCCCAGCTTCCTTGTAGCCCCTTCAGGTACTGGAAGGGGCAATAAGGTCTCCCCGGAGCCTTCGCTTCTCCAGGCTGAACAAGCCCAACTCTCTCAGCCTGTCCCCATAGCAGAGGGGCTCCAGCCCTCTGTCATCTTCATGGCCTCCTCTGAACTTGCTCCAACCGGTCAATATCCTTCTGATGCTGAGGGCTCCACAGCTGGACACAGCACTCCAGGTGGGGTCTCACAAGAGCAGAGTACAGGGGCAGAATCCCCTCCATCTTTTATATCATTCACAGTGCTGTTACAGGCTGCAAGAATGTGTTTTGGGGAGTGTTCAGGTCTTCACTGTCTTGTCTCATGGACAGGGGACATTGTGTTCAAAGCTTATCTGCTCATCTCCCATGGCATTGCTCTGGATGCTTCAAGTCAAGCAGTTCGGATCAGCTCAACATTTCCTTTTACTTCCCAAAGCACCGAATGCCTCACGCGCTGAAGTCCGCAACACAATGCCAAGTACTGTATCACTCAAAATTAGGCCTATTCCCTTAATAATTTGTATTACAGAAACCCAGTATGTCCCTAATGACATGCCCAATTAGCTGTGGCCAGAGCACCTGCCTGCTGGTATTTTAAAGATCTGAACTCTGCGGGTGGCTGCAAAATTGAAGAGTAATTTGTAGTTTTTACTTGAAGAGCCCTGACTGCTTGTTGGAGCACTTACATCTCGTTACATCTATGCTTATTTTGATATACCGCTTTGAAAATAAACATGAAGACATAAAATATGCAGTGGCCTAATTACTACTCTTGCTGGAAAATGTAAATCTTATTTGCTGCTCTGCTGTAACACTGTACCCTTTCTTCCAGCTTGACTTAATTTGCTGAGACAATGTGTCAGCCTCAGACACCCACATTTGAGGGTAAATGAGGGAAAGAATTAAAAAAAAAATCTGACTATGACAGAGCACATTTTCATATAAAATGAACCCTTATTTTTATGCAAAGCTCATGGGCTCTAAACCTGAGAAATTAAAGTTTAACATGGCAGAGGTTTGTGACACAAAGGTAAAATGATAGCTCCACTAACTCTAACCAGATGCTTAAATGTCAAACATCCACTTTAATGCTCTGCTAGATCCTATTCTTACGTAGCAATTACGCTAAGTGGCTGCATAATAATATTTTTTTGCTTGCAAGACAAAGTTCTGCATAAGCTCTGTCTCCTGATTAGCAGTAGCTTCATTTGAGTTAAAATAATTGCCTATTAGAATTCTTGCAAATATTTAAAATACTCTATACTGTGGCAAATGTTTCTCTTTGTAAAAATACTCAGAGCCTTATGTACAGCTTCTTATGAAGAAGCTTTCTATATATCTATGTATCTTTCTATAAGATATATCTATATATCTGCCTATAGCATTGCTTTATGAGCTTTGTTCTTTTCTACCTTTTCAAAATTCCTTGTGCCTGAGGCAACCAGGGGAGGGGGCAATATCATGTTGTTTCACTTCTCCTACCGTGTCCTTTTGTATCAGCACACACTTGGGTGTTCTCCCCATGCACCACGCACCAGAATATGGCCAACTCCCACATTTTGTTGCCTCATGGATATTCCCAAGGACAACCTCTTGTGAGCCAAATCAACATTCAGCTCCCATCAGCAAACCTGCTGAAATTTGGACCCAAAACTCTGCTCTGAGGCAGGAGCAACCCACAGGAACACAGGCCCCTTCCCAGCCTTGTGCCTTAACCCTCCTCAACCCCCTCATGTACAACCCATCAACTCCCCTGATACAAATTAGGTACAACTGGAAACAGTGCTACAGCCCCAAAGCAACTACAATTATTTCTGTAATGACAATGGAGAGAGAGAGGCCTTGCTGCCCTAAGGCTGTGCTCTGCTGCAGCACAAACGATGACAAAAGCCCCAGTGGAGGCAAAGCCAGGCTGTCCTGGCCACATTAAGGATGCTTTTTGTGAAGCTGACTTAATACATTGCTAGTAAAAAAAGATGTAGGTGCAGGGAGCTGTACCTGAATTTTACAGTGTTTACATAAATTAAGAATACCTGCTACAGCACAGGGAAACAAAACCATGCATGTTAATTAGTAACAGGCATTGAATTTTTAGGAGGACTTAATTCAAGACCTATGGCCTCTGTTATTTAGAGAGTTTAGACCAGGTATCATAAACTCCGGGGTAAAAAATGAAAAGTATTAACCTCTTCTGGCTAATCTGGTCCATTTTTACCCATGATGAACTTTCTTAAATTACTGGACATATCAAGCAATGAAACAATCACTGTCCATGTTTGGGAGAAGATTATACCACAACAGGAGTGAGCGTGGAGGGAGTGTGATGGCCCTCTCACACTGATTCAGTCAGAGGCATATGCTGTTTGCAATAATTTGTATTTCTAACATTTATGTACTGTCATAACAAGCTACATAGTTAACCACGTTCTTTTAGGAAGCTTAAAGCCTTGGTGTTAAGCTTTGCTAATGGTTCCTCTTGAATGATGTAGAAGAGAGGGAAAAGGGTATTTAAAATTGATCTGCTGGTAACCAGTGTGTATTTCTACTTCTTCCATTAAGTAAGAATAATAAAATACATTTTGAGTAAGGAGCCCTGTACAGGTAGAAGGTAAACATCAGCAGAGTGAGAAAAGGCAATTATTACCTGGCTGAATCTCTCTTCTTCGAAGCCTGTGCTTAAGGAAGGAAGAGAAAGGAAAGGAGGGGGGAGGAATCCAGCTTCTATCTGCACTTGTTGTCAACACGACTGGCAACCTCAGCAGGGTGAGTACGTCACCTTGGCAGTCTCATGCTGACTTACAGTGAGTGATGTATTCAGAGGAACTGGTTGATGCATGGGTGATTGACAGGAGGAATTTTAGAGGTGGGTGGTGGTGCCATGCCCAAGACAATGCCAACACTTGCCGCTTCACTGCTTGTACAGGAAGTTTCCAACTCAGGTCCCAGATTTAGCGTAATAGTAGAGCGCCGAGTACAGCTTGGCTTAGATAAATACACATATATAAGTAGCAGGAAGCTCTTGGAACCTCACAGCATTTTAACACTGCAGTAAATCAAGCTACAGCTAAAAGCACAAGAGCTTTTTGAGGTGAAGCACAGGAATATAATGCAAATGATGGAGGCACAACATTGTCATCCTGGATATCCATATTGCTAAGCTTTCAGCCAAAAAATGGAGTGAGAACCATCACATCAGGGCAAGAAGTAACACCCAGGGCTATGACCACAGTGAAAGCCAGTATCATGGTAACACATTACGTAAAAAGATACCCAACATACTGCACCAGTTTGAAAAAACTGGCATTTTACAGATCTTTGCTGCTTAGGAATCTGCAGCCACCATGGATGTTTAAGAGCATAACAAAAAAACCCAACCCAGACATAAATCATGGGCAGTAAATATGGAGAGTAGATAGAGAGAATGCCTTTCATCTCCATGCACAGCCAAGCCCATAGCTGTCCCATCCCAATGAAGCATTAAAGCAACCTTAGGCTTAAATCCTGACTTACCATCATAGTTAGGCTGGCAGCAGTGTGGCAAGAGGAGAGTTTGGTGAGCAGAGCGGCAGAACAGCAACGCCTCCACCAGCCCCACCATCAAATATTAACCCAGCCATTCAGGAGGCTGCACTTGGAAGCAGGGTGGCACAAAATGGAATAGGCTTCAGGTAGCAAAAAAATGAGTAACCAGGGCTAAAAGAACAATAATTAAGTGATGAAAGATAGTGAGGAAGCAGCTGACACAGGAAGGAATAAATAGATGCCTAAAGGCCAGGAAAACTGTGCCATGGAACCTGGAAAGGCAACAGCCAACTTAAATCCCAAATGCTGAAAGACAAGCCAGTGAACAGGTATCGCTGGAAGGAATGACACAGATGAGATACAAAACAGGTAC